TCCTGAACGCCAGTACTGAATTGTTTTCCTCTGGCGATAGAATAATGATGGCAAAGAATTCGTTTTTATCAGACGGCGTAAATTTAGTCAGTTGTTGAACACGCGGTCACGAGGCGTTTACACAATTCATAGCTATTCGTCATTGTGTCCTGATACAGCAGAGCGTTTTCAGTTGCGAAGTTTGGGTAGGTTTTCTAGCTTATGCATCACTTTTGGCGTTCACAAAGTACGTTGGATAATTTCTATTTTTACTGTATATTTTAGCTACTGTTCATTCTATCCTTAATGACCTGAATTGTCTTTGGCCGCTTACAATGATGCTTTCGCTGTCAATTTTTCGGATACTAAGAGACCATCTCTTTCAGTGCCCATACATCCCCCAAAAAAGCGGATATTGCGGTAGAAAGGGTTTCTTATATTATATACACATATACATTATTTTGCGGTGTTTCGTACGTCAAAACTTTCTTTCAATTTCCTTGTCTTTCCTTTTGAATAAATTAAGACAAATTGATACTACGTGTTTTATATAAGTTTTTTAAATAAAGTGTGCGAGTGTGTGTGAAAAGGCGTGAAAAATAAGAACGAAGATACGTAGTCGGAGCACTGATACAAGTCTGGTTTCAAGGTAAGATAATCCTGCATGCCCCTTTTTCAGGGCGCGTTCAACCATAAAGTAACCTTATTGAACTACAAAACACATCTTGAGTAGAAAGAGATTATTCTACACTGTATTACTTATGCCGTACGGGACAGTAAAGGAGGGGAACCTGACAGCGGCTTTCGCCCTGCAAGTGCATTTTATTCTTACGTTTTAGTAATCTGAAAAAGCTCCTCAGTCTTTACAGATGCATACCGAGTGGCGCTATAAAATTATCAGCTTTTACTGATTTGTTCGGTCATTATTTCTAGTAATCTTCCCGAAGATCTTTTATGCCATCATTTTATTAAGGTTTACGAAAACAAAAGTTTTTCTGATACTTTTTTTTCGTTGTTTTCTAAGCCAAACTTTTAGAAATCCATTGGAACTATCATAAACTTAAGTGAATCGAAAACACTGGTCTAGAAAATTTCTACCTTTCTCGACCTCCAGAAGTTAAATCATTCAGCCCAGTCTAGGCAACCGTAAATTCAGTTTATATTTTACAGACAACAGTCGTTTTACAATGTAAAATATATGAGTGCCCGGTCCCTATCGTGAGTAGCCGAACACGACAAACCGAGTTAAGGCTAGATAGTGCTACAAGGTGGTTGGAACTGGGATAATCAAACGCGCAAGAAAGCAAACACTCTAAACAATTTCTATTTCAGGAATCGAGAAACGAATACATCAGAGGACCTACAGCATTGTTGTGATCGGAGTTGGGGTGAGTTTCTACTCCCAATATTTTAATGTTTCNTTTTCAGTTGCGAAGTTTGGGTAGGTTTTCTAGCTTATGCATCACTTTTGGCGTTCACAAAGTACGTTGGATAATTTCTATTTTTACTGTATATTTTAGCTACTGTTCATTCTATCCTTAATGACCTGAATTGTCTTTGGCCGCTTACAATGATGCTTTCGCTGTCAATTTTTCGGATACTAAGAGACCATCTCTTTCAGTGCCCATACATCCCCCAAAAAAGCGGATATTGCGGTAGAAAGGGTTTCTTATATTATATACACATATACATTATTTTGCGGTGTTTCGTACGTCAAAACTTTCTTTCAATTTCCTTGTCTTTCCTTTTGAATAAATTAAGACAAATTGATACTACGTGTTTTATATAAGTTTTTTAAATAAAGTGTGCGAGTGTGTGTGAAAAGGCGTGAAAAATAAGAACGAAGATACGTAGTCGGAGCACTGATACAAGTCTGGTTTCAAGGTAAGATAATCCTGCATGCCCCTTTTTCAGGGCGCGTTCAACCATAAAGTAACCTTATTGAACTACAAAACACATCTTGAGTAGAAAGAGATTATTCTACACTGTATTACTTATGCCGTACGGGACAGTAAAGGAGGGGAACCTGACAGCGGCTTTCGCCCTGCAAGTGCATTTTATTCTTACGTTTTAGTAATCTGAAAAAGCTCCTCAGTCTTTACAGATGCATACCGAGTGGCGCTATAAAATTATCAGCTTTTACTGATTTGTTCGGTCATTATTTCTAGTAATCTTCCCGAAGATCTTTTATGCCATCATTTTATTAAGGTTTACGAAAACAAAAGTTTTTCTGATACTTTTTTTTCGTTGTTTTCTAAGCCAAACTTTTAGAAATCCATTGGAACTATCATAAACTTAAGTGAATCGAAAACACTGGTCTAGAAAATTTCTACCTTTCTCGACCTCCAGAAGTTAAATCATTCAGCCCAGTCTAGGCAACCGTAAATTCAGTTTATATTTTACAGACAACAGTCGTTTTACAATGTAAAATATATGAGTGCCCGGTCCCTATCGTGAGTAGCCGAACACGACAAACCGAGTTAAGGCTAGATAGTGCTACAAGGTGGTTGGAACTGGGATAATCAAACGCGCAAGAAAGCAAACACTCTAAACAATTTCTATTTCAGGAATCGAGAAACGAATACATCAGAGGACCTACAGCATTGTTGTGATCGGAGTTGGGGTGAGTTTCTACTCCCAATATTTTAATGTTTCGCATTTCCGGTATCTGGCATATTGGGTGGTGCAATTATTAAGATACAGGTTGCAACAATAATTATAGAAATGACCATTTCAGGTACCTTTTAAGTGTCTGCGTCCGCTTAATTAAAGTTTCATTTAAAGTAAATAAGGGAAATAAGTTTGGGGACTTCGGCTAATGTCCTCTTAATACAGGTTTCACTGCACTTAAAGACTGGTCTCACGGGAAACAGTTAATTTTGTTCCCTCCAATCGTATCTCGGGAAAAATATTCACTATTTCCCTCGGGATCAGTCATTAAGTGTTTATTGTTATATTCCTAGACTTTCGCTCAACTAAACAGGGACTGCCATTGGTTGAAACTTGGTCCCATGGCCCTGCTTAAAATCAAATGTATCTCGATCGGAAAAATTTGAGCGATTGTACCCCGCTCGACCCCGCTTAACCCGGCTCGGGATAAAGTGCAGCACGTGATCAAAGTGGAAAGTGGCGTGACATAAGCGTTGAAAAAAAACTGCCAGTTTTCACTTTCGGGAATGAACACAACACCACAAACATCAGTAAAGCCTCAAGCTAAAAAGCAACGAGTTTCAAAGTTATCCCAAAAGAGAAACAGCAACTTGTGGAGGAAAAAGATGCAGATAATATAACGAAAGTACTTTGTAAATCATTCATTCAGTGGTTTTGAGAATTAAGTGCATGTGTTCTTACAAGTACCGAGTCGACTGTTTTGATTGGCTCCGATTATTCTTTTGTTGCTGTTGAAATGACACCATAAATAATACCGTAAGTCCTCTATTAAGCGCCCCGGGGGGGAAGGGGTTATTGGTTTTTTTTAAGCACTTTTGAGAGAGGCTTAATAGAGAGGACGGGGGGAGTTAAAGAGAGGAAGAGCTTATTTAATTTAGCGAAACGCATCAACGGGAGCAAGGTTTCTCGAGGACGGACTCGTGGATCCTGGGCGTTATACTGCTTTTTCTAACAATAAGAAACTGGTAACAATTCTCCAGAGAGAACTAGAGCGGAAAGTTGAAAAAAGTTAAGCACATGAAGTTGGAGGTCATGTTTCCGAAGACCAAAAACAATATGAATTTCCTGGAAATTCCAGCCTGAATAAACCATAAGTGATCAGTGCACCATGATTGTTTGTGAAGAATGAGGATGGAGGAGAGGGGGATGGGGGGGCTTAATAGGGAGGGGGATCTTATTAACTTTCCTCCTCTTTAAAGGGGGGGAACTTATAAGAGAGGGGGGGAAGCCTTTTATCTCAATCTGTCCAGGCCCTGCTCCAGAAAGCCCAAAAAAATTCTACCCTCTTCACAGAGATGAAGTACTTTGGTGACAATCCTACCCAAACCCGACAACCTAAAAACACACAAATATCAGTTAACAACCTCGAGAAAGCATTTACAAAATCGTTTCGTCCTCAACATCTACACAGACAAAAACAAATTACTGTCATGACCATCATTTAAAGTTTAGAAAAGTGTATCTTCGTCATATAAACGACACAAAAATTTTTCGTTATCTACCAAACAGTTTCCACTGTCTTGAAACAGCAAATGAGCAGAAGCTTTCGGAAATAAGTACCTCTAATTGGCCGAGTTTACGGTCCGTACTGTAACGGACCCGGTTTTTTCATAAATCGATGGAAAAAAAATCGAGGATCCGTAATTTGCAGCACGGACCGACTAAACGAGGCTAATCGCGGTAGTCATCTTCAGAGTCAAAGTGAGTTGTATCACGTCAGTTGATCCGTGTTAAGCCGTGATGTTATTGGCTATGAAGACTCGTAATCGGTAATTGGTGCGTTTCGATCAGTCTATTGTCACAGTTAAACAGTCGTCTATTGTTAGTCAAATTGTCAGTTCTCCAGTCGTTCTCTCGTAGTTAGTTTTGCTTGATCTCGTAAACGTCTCGGTCAGCCGCGTGCTAAGGTTGCTGCCGGTTTCACCAATGTAAGAGGCCTGTCAGTCGCAGCATTTGATCTTGTACACTGCTCCCTGTCTGTCCTCCGGTTTGTTTTTGTCCTTGACATTAGTAAGCAGTCGCCGTAAAGTGGTTATCGGTTTGTGTGCAACACGTATATTGTAAGGTTTTAATATATCCCGCTGCGATAGTTTCAGAGGTGCCTCTGATGTACGGAATAGTCGCTGTCGTAACAGGGCCAGAGTTGACGTTGGTCTGAGTGTTGGTATCAGTCTTACTGTGAGTGTTCCGTCTAACAAAGTCCGTGTTGTAATTGTTCTTACAAAAAACGTTGTCAAGATAATCAGTCTCGTCTCGTCTTGTCAGGTGAGTCGCAAACTAGTTGCGCTCGTCTCGTCAAAGTCAGGATAGTAGTAGCCCTGTGAGAGGTCGGGTTGTACGAAGAGAGGTCTAGTAATCGGTCGGTATGTGTTTCTGTAAATGGTCGTTTGTAGTTTGTTGTTGTCGCGAGAGACCAAGCGGTCTAGAAAAGGTATCTTATCATTTTCTTCGATCTCCTTGGTGAACTGTATGTCTGCGCTCTGTCTGTTAAGGTGTTCATGAAAATCGTCGATTCCGTCTCTGTGTACGGCGGTGAATGTGTCATCAACGTAACGTAACCAAAGAGGTATAATTCGCGTGTAGGTAGCTAGGGCTTGTTCCTGGATGTTTTGCATGACAATTTCTGCTACAACAACAGAAACTGGAGAGCCCATAGCTGTACCGTGTAACTGTTTGTAGTGTTTGCCGTTGTAGTGAAAGTACGTCGAAGTCAAACAGAGGATGAGTAGGTCCATAATGTCGTCTGTAGGTAGTTGTAATTCAACAGTAGAGTTCTTAATAGCGTTCTCAGTACGTTCTAGAGCCAGTTGAAGTGGAATGCTGGTGAACAGTGATTTCACGTCAAAGGACACTAGTTCGTGGTCTTCCGGTTTCTGTATTGTCTTAATGACGTCAATAAAGTTCTCAGTAGACCGTAGATTATGTCTAGATTCGTTAGTCAGAGGTTTCAGTACGTTAGTTAAGTATTTAGACGGTTGGTAGGTCCCGTCCATGTTTCAGTCCCGTCCCCTAGACGAGACTGAAACACAAGTACTTTCTTACGGACTTAAACACTCAGTGACACCTAAACAAATACCTGCTGAGGCTATTGTATCTAGCGTTGAGAACGTTCTGTCTCGCCAACACGAGCTATCAGGGTCGACCAAGAATAACATCAGAAGTAGAGTGACCTCTACTTTACAATCAGCCTCATTACCGAGCAGTAACTTGACTCCTGGCAAACAGAGAGCACTTAAACGACTGAAAACAGACGAGAACATAGTAATACTGCCTGCAGACAAGGGACGGGTGACTGTTTTTATGGACAAGACAGACTACAACGACAAAATGGACTCGCTTGTTAACGACAAACAGACCTACGAAGTACCTAAACGAGACCCGACACCCGCACTGCAACGCAAAGTTAACAACAAACTGCTTACACTGAAGAAAACCGACAAGATCGACTTTCGACACTACAACAGACTGAGGTGTAGTGTTCCGCAGCCACCCAAGCTGTATGGACTACTAAAACTACACAAACCCAACATATCAATGCGGCCCATAGTTTCTTTCTGTGGGTCCCTGACCTACCAACTGTCTAAATACTTAACTAACGTACTGAAACCTCTTGACTGACGAATCTAGACAACAGTAGAGTTCTTAATAGCGTTCTCAGACGACCAATAACATCGCGACGTAATTGACCAATCAGATCAATAACCAGAGTATAATACACTTTGACTCTGAAGATGACTACCGCACAGATTGTCGAAACGTCAGTCACTGTCAACAACAACAAAAGTTCTATTCAGGACTACGTTTACCCGGAAGATCAAACTCAACCTACTTTTGAAATGACTCTTGGGTTCAAACCTTTCACAGTAAGATATTTAGCTATATTTATTATTATTATTATTATGGCTTCCTGTTCGAGGGACGGGAAACAACAGCAGAACAAGCGATTTGACAGTCCCGGCATTTGACAGGCATCAGAAAATGAAAGTTTTAATTGGCTCACGGAAACAATAGCACATTTACATTTTCTAGTGAAAGTAATATCAAAATTTAAATGCGCCATGTTGAAAACGTTTATTCGGTTAAAACTAAGAGCACTGTAAGTATTCGCTCGCCAATGTGATGCTGGAGTCTTTCGAAAACTGGACATTGTGTCTGGCTCGAAGTCGCTTCAATCTGTCTTCCTTGGTCTTTGAAAAAAAAATGCAAATGTTAGTTGTCAAGATCGATGATCAGGTGCAGGCAAGTTTTTTATCATATCTATCGATGGAATCGTTCGTTTTCTCTGCTAGTCGAGATTTTCGTCATCTTAACTGTGTTCTGCGACAAAATTTTCAAGTAACTCAGTCGAATCCTCTCCTTCAATAAGATTACGATTCAGTTTCTTCATCGGTTTCGTTTACATAAATAAACGCAGGTTAAAATGTTGAAGGATGAAGTCAACATCTAAGTCCCTGCTGAAGGTTGACAGACTAACTTTCTTCACTGACCTTTTTTTTCGAGATAAAGAGATTTCTAGCTGAGAAATGAGCATCTTCTTTTGAAAATTTGGTCCCCATAGCAAGTTACAGACCGCAAATTGAGCAATCGCATGGCAAAAACAGACTTAGCTTTATTAAATAATACGCATTAAATAGGAGGACTATGTCACCCACATCGCAGTCCACAAAAGGGCCCAAGTCACAAGAGTTAGCTCGAGTGCTAGCTGAGGAATCATGGATTCTCCCTCGCCAGTCACTTTGGTCTAGCATTGTTAATCTTGTTTCTCCGATAGTGGCGAAGCTGGTGTTCTCAAGCAAAGTGTGTGTGTACGTAGTCCTAGGTCTTCCTCTCTTAGTTTGTCCGTGTTGTGGCTGCCACAACACAAGCTTCAATGCCTCCTCCTATTTATGTCTAACACAATGCCCCGCTATTCTCATTCGTCTTTCAATGATCTTGATAGAAATGTTTGGAAGGTGACCGTACAGATTTTCATTTGCGATGTGCAGTGGTCCCTTCAAGAAACGTTTAGTGCTGTGCGAAGCATTCTAATATAGGCACCATCAATTTACTTTTCTGTGCTTTTGGATGGTGTCCATGTTTCCCTGCCGTAAAGGAGAGCTCTTTCTACTGTTGCTAGGAATATTCTAATCTTTAATTGCTTAGACAGGCTGGATTTGCAAATTTTGCACCATGCACCCAGGCTTGAGCTTTTCTCGTTCTCATGTCTTTGACAGAATCATCCATCCAAGAACCTAGGTATTTAAAATCGGCTACTCTTCTTATTGAGTCAGTGGTTTTGGTTTCAATTATTGCTGGATCCTGATTGTAGACGATTACCTGAGTTTTAACTGCAGTTTATTTATTTATTTATTTATTTATTTATTTATTTATTTAGTAACTCACAAAATCTGATAAAACGTGAACAAAAGTTGCTAATTAAATTATAAATTAATGTGACAAGGAAGCCTCACGAAGCTTGGAGCTAATATTAATAGGCTTCCTTCAACTACTTAATGAACTAAATTCATGGCTGAGTGCAGAGTGAGCAAGATCAGAAAATTAAGCGACAGATCGGCTATCAATGAGATAATCCTTTAAATTTTTTCAAAAACAAATATAGGGGGAGAGTTAATTAGTGAAATAGGCAAGGAATTCCAGATTTTAGGTCCTCGGTAAAGGATACTAAATTGCTTTATATTTGTTCTACAAAAATGAGGTCTATACTGAGAGGCTAGTCGAGTTTCGTATTGATGGACTTGATTACTACTTAAGAACAAGTCACGAAAGCTTCTAGGCAAAAGATTATGGTGATAAGAATACATAAAAGGAGCGACAGGAAATAAATTAATGCTAAATATGTCAAGGACTGTAGCTGGCTAAATAAAAGGGCGGTATTTGCTAGATAGTGAGCTTTTGTTATGAGCCGCACTATACGCTTTTGCAAAAGGTAAATACAGTCTAGGCTGGAACAGTAGGTGGAGGACCAGGCAGTCAGTAGGATTTCTAATTTCCCTTCCATTTTTGGTGAAGCTTGCAGGATACGGTGATTTAGCGACACGCCTGTTGATCACTTCATTGAGAATTTTCCATGTTTGCCTTAAGTTAGATCTAGTCTTATCCAATTTGTTGTCATAATAATTTTTCCTGGCGACACGAACAAGACAAGTTAGCTTATTTCTAAATGACTTATAGTTGGATTCACGCTCATGACTTGCTTTCGATCCTTAAGAATAATTTATTCAGCCTAGACTTTGTTTTAATAGATTTAAAGATTCCAGTTGTAAGCCACAGATTATGCAGAGTTTTTGGGTTTTTCCCTTGAAAAAACTTTATCGGAAAACTCTTGTTATAAAATTCAGTATATTTTTGTAGGACCCCATTGTAAGCAGCGTTAGCATCAGCGTAGATCAGAGAATTCCAATCGAATTCACACAAAAGGTTAGATGTACTAATATTCTTACCGGAGAAGTTGCGAATGGCAACACTTTCCTTAGGCTTAATTGTTGAAGAATGAGGACTCAAACTGAAGTTACGACCTGGAGTTTGCCGGCACTCCCATTGATATTAACAACCATTTAAAGATCCTAGGAATATGTTTAGATAACAAATTATCTTTTATCATGCTGAAGAAAGAATATTCCAAGATAGGCGCACTTCGCCGCCTTAAGCGTTTAGTACCGGAAAATACTATGTTGCTTCTTTACAAGAGCTTTGTGTTATCACATTTTGAATACTGCAACTCTTTACTTTTGGGTATAGGTAAAACACTTAACAAGAAACTGGAAGATGCGAACTATTATGGTCTTCGAACTATAATGAACATGGGGAAAAGTACCGATTATGAATCAATTCTTAGGATGGTAGATATGAATACCTTGGAACATAGACGCATAGAACAATCCTTAATGATATTTTTTAAATGTTTCAAGGCGAATGGTCCAGGCTATGTAGCAAATTTATTCAAACCCCGAGTTACACCATATAACCTTAGAAGCAATGGTCTGAATGTTGTTCAAACCTCATATAATAGTAGATTCCTTCATGGTTCATATGCGTACACGATCTCGCACATCTGGAACCAGTTGCCATCTGCTGTAAAAAACGCACCTAATGCATCATCCTTTCGGAGACTTTTAACTAAGTTAAATTTTATCGGCTGTCAATGCAACAATTGCCTTTGACCCGATTTATTTTTATAGATAGATGTTTTTTGTTTTTAATTAATTAGTTGCTATTGAGATATTAACTAATTAATTTTTCTTTTATATTGTCAAACACTTTTATCATGAGCCGGTGGCTCGGGGGATTGGGAGACCACCCCCTGTGTATCTGACATTAAATAAATTATCTTATCTTATCTTATCTAATGAGCACCCTTGTAACAGAGTGTGACGATTGGTAAATGGTTGGACAGATCATTAATAATGAGTCCATTGTCACACGAGGCAGAAATATTGTTAGTAAAAATGTTATCAATCAGGGTGGCGCTGTACGAAGCATGTCGAGTTGGTTGGGTAAAGAAAATGAGGAAATAAGGCATTAATAAACTCGTTCGTAGTTGAAAACAAATCAGTGTTAAGGTCTAAATTGAAATCACCCATTGTGTAACACATTTTATTGTCCCTGGTTACCCGATGAAGCAATTGCTGAAAAGATTCCAGGAATTCATGCAAATTAGCAGAAGGAGGACGATAAACTGTACCAATAGTAGCGGAGCTTCCGCGCGCGAAGCGCGCGCAGCGGAGCACCATGGGTAACAAAATTTGGTAAACTATCCATCCGAGAAATTTTGGTTATGACGTAGCGTACGCCCGCCCGTCCGTACACACACTTCATGTAAGCCGATGTCAAATGTCACAATAGATCTTGCACAACTTGACTAGCCTTTCAGTTTTGTAAGCCATCCGTATGAGTACGATTAGATTGATAGCTGTCAAAATCCGACATCCGCTGACAATTATCACATGACCATCTCGCAGGCTCAGATGAAGGACCAGTCGTTTTGCCCCTACAT